CTGAAAAATTGGCTAGTTGTGCCCCAATATGCGTTGTCTTACAGGAATCATTACATAAATACGTACCGAAGAAGATAGCAAAGTTTAGCGTTTTACCCTTTAACCGAGAACAGACAATCGTTTTGAGTGTAGAAAGGATCTTCAGTTGTGGCATGCCAAATGTTACATTTACTGAGGCTCTCCGTTGAGGAACTTCGGCTTTGTAACTGTTGTGAACGGTAAATAAACATAACAGCTCCTATTTCTTTGAGTCTCGCATGAACTCCCTTCATTGTTTTACCAATAGATCGTTCCGTACGAGTTGGTTCGTGAGAGCAAGCTCCGCAGAAATCGGAGTTCATTTTCGACTGCATCTCGAGTGCCTATCTTTATTAAAATATTTACCGAACGACCTAATAGGATTCTTTTCGTTTCGAGTGAGAATGAGCTATGAAATTGCTTCAAATTTTGATTTCACACCATTTTATTATGCACCGGATGGAATAATCACCCTGGCAGAACATTATTACGTTTACGCACGCTAGGCACGTGGCAGCCGATCGGTTACAGGTGCAATAACCTTATCAACTGACCATTCGGTTTAAATGTGAGTCATGTTTATACTTTAATGAATCCTGTGGTTCACGGTGTGTGTATTTTTCCTCTCTTGCAGATTGTAATTTGGTGCTCCTGTTCGTCAACAGTTCTAGCCCAGATGAGCCTCGGCTCACATCCAGTGCATCCGTACCCGGGGGACATTACACGGCACACTTGAATTGAAGCATACTACTACTACTACTACTACTACTACTACTACTACTACTATTACTACTACTACTACTACTACTACTACTACTAGGTACCATCCCCTTCAGACCTCAACGATGAGAATGGCTATCTGTCACTTTCCTTCTGATCTTAATAAATATTTTATGTGAAGCATTGATAAGACCACGAATAAGTAAATACACACTTGTTTACAGTAGTGTTTGGTGGGACTTTGTGGTAATTCAGGCCTATGACATGACGCCTACCCTGGAGCGGCGCGTCACAGTTTTCGGACACATGCGATCAATCAAATTTGAATGCTGACGTTAATGACAGGCTTACGGCTTCCGACTACATGCCATAGGCAGATCGTGCCATCCAATCCAAGACAGTGCAGACACAAGCAAGATTATGCAAGCAGTATTGCAATCCGATTGGCGGAAGCCTAGATAATCAATAATCTTCCTTGGTACATATTATTTAATCGCCTTCATTTCTTCCAATAAACTAACTACATACTACTATTCCTGTGGCTTTTTTCTCGCGTCTCGTTCTCGTGGGGCATTGTGGACCGGTGCCATTGCGGTCCAGTGCCTCTGTGANGTGTCCTGTGATTCCTATTACATGGTTTGCATTTCGAATTCCGTGCGTATAACTACTACTACTACAATCTTTACAGACATGCCCAAAATTTTAAGGGAAAAGTGCAGCCAGTTTAGGCGGGTGAATGAAATTCATGATTGCTGATACCTGAAAGCATACAGAAAAGCTTATAGTTGGTAAGACACATTTTATAGTTTAATAAACAGAATACCTGTTAGTCTCAGTTGAAGTAGAAAATAACTTGAGAATTATCAACAAAGATATGTTCTTTTGCACGTCAGAGGGGTCATTCAAATAGCCGTTGGGATATCGCTCTGCTACCGCTGATGTTTCGACCTCAACTCTTTAGAATTCACTTCGGCAGTTCCTGTGGTTCATACTCTTTCCTGGGAAACGTGAAGTAGTCAAAGGGTTAAGGAACAAAGCCCACACATCTAAGTGAAGAACAGCACAAACGGGGTGCATGGACTGTAAAGTTACACGGGATAAAAAATAATAAATGGGGATGAATTCTACATTGTTTGAAACTCACGCGAGATTTATGTGAGTATTTTCCAATAGACAAAGTAGCTTGATAAGCCGGTGTGACCCCGTCGCTTCGATGAATCGGACGCCCGGCCACTGCCCGTTCCATACCGCGACTGGTGGTCGCTTTACCCTTCGAACCCCTATGATGTGGGTCGGTTGGACTGTTATTATTCTTCCCAGGGTGTATTGGACAGCCCAATTCTTCCGCCCTTATCAGGTTTACCAGCAAACGGGCCCGACTATACAAGTTTTCCAATCGAAATTCGTGTCGCATTGTTCGGGATGCGGCCAATTGCGAGACGTTCACGTAACGCGTTTTGTCACTCACTGCCGATGTGTAGAATTCTATGTTAGTCCCGTCGTAAAATGTCAACGGCCATTTAGGTTGATGGAATGCAGCCGCATTGGGCAATAACCACTCATCAACACCTGGTTCATATTCTTCCACTGATGCCATATTGAGATCTTTCGAGTGCTTGCGGGAGAAATCGTGGGATAAGGTGTTGTACGCATCTAATGATTGTTGTCGACGCATATGATGAGCTGACTAGAAGGAAAATAATAATTGAACGATAGACACAATTCACATTTTAGACGAAACTAGGCTAAACTGAAGACAATTAAATGATTGTTTGGTTTTATTACGCGCAATCCATTGAATGAAGTAAATGATAATGAATAAACTCTTTTAACTCAGATAGGCTATTTTGAGAATAATTAATTTATTATACTTATAATTCAACACTGGACCAATACAAAAGCGTTTCATTCAATCTCCCGTGCTATTATGATATACCATTAGGTTTACGGTGGGATTACTTCTATATTGTGTCATCTGGTCGTTGGAGTAACATCAGCATGTTCACATTATCAAATTTTCGGTGCCCGTTCACCGACTTGCCGATTCCACTCCATCACCAGATATGCAAGGAGAGAACCGGTCCTGACGTGATCTGCAAATGAACAATTGAACCGAAAAAGATAGAACAAACTACTCCGTGGTGGTTTGACAAAGATCTTGCTGAGAGACGACTAATCGAGAGGACGGATAGAATTGTTGATGAACAGTAACTTCAAGTAAACAGATAAAATCATAAACGCAACCAGTGTACTGAACGCATCACACAAACAACTCTTGAAACGTTTATAAACAAATTTACGGGTCTGCGAAAACCAAATGTCATGATTTGTCATAAAGAATCTAAATGCAAACAGTAGTAGTAGTAGTAGTGATAGTAGTAGCTGAGAAAAAGGAAATAAGCTCACTAACCACCAAAGAGATTTCCGACGGGGAGTGCACCAAGTGTGGAGTCATGACAACGCCGTTTAGGCGGTCTCGTTTAATTTGTTTTATCAGTGCACCTCTGCGATCGATGTGTACACGTAGCTCGGGTATCTCGCCCAAGGTCATGATGAAGTTCAGTTCACCTAAGTAACCGGGTGAGCAATGTCGGGAGTCATCACTCAGTCGAACTGTAAATTCCTTGTCTCTGAAACAGAAAATCAGAATGAATGTTCAACTCAGTTCATTTTAGTACTCATTTAGAGCTGAAGATAACGGCGGTAATTTATGTAATACATGCGTTTCCATTCTGATTATTTATAGTAAACAAAGCAGTTAAGCAATTTTGTAAAATGGTAGACAAGTTACATCAGTTGCTCTCATTGAGCACAAAAACCTGTTCGAGCACTGGGCAGCTGATGAGACCCTTTCAGTTTGTTTATTCACCGTTTATCACTACGCATCTGTACAAACATGTTGAGAGCATCTAACATTGCCAGCTGAAAGCTTGTATACAATTGGCAGTAGTCTCTATGGTAATGACTCGGTGAATGTTCACAACGAGCTTACATCGACGGATTGTGCACAGTAGTGTAAAGCTTAAGTTAAACGTTTTAATTCACTATTCGGTCATTTAATGGAAATTACATTAAAAATAAAGTCCGGTAGGCGAAAGAAGCCGTTTTCAATAAATTGATCAACGGTGTTGATCTTTTGATATTCCTACTGCAATTTTCCAGGAACAATGAATGTAATGACCATGCAATGACTTTGCTATCGGCTAATAATAACTTTGTGGCTGATAAACAGCTTGTGATGTTATTAGTCTTCGCGCAGTCCAAACGAGTACCACAGACTAACGTAACTAGTTGTGGGGAGATATGGTTCCAATGGTAAGTGAACATACGAGTACAGATCAGGTGGATAGGGTGCACAAAACCCATTAAACAGTCTAATCTGATTAATAATTGGGACTACTATTCAAAATAACCTAACAAAATGGTTTGCTAAATAATAAGCGTTTTAATAATCCATAGATTGATACACCCCGCTAACTGATTAATTAAAACATGTGCACACTTTTCTATACTCTGATCAATATATACCGGACTGATGCCTTTGTAGCAGTCGGAAAACAGAGTAGGTAAACGTATATTTTTGTTGAGATATAAAGTCAGCGAATTCAACTTTCCCTAAGCCGCAATATGAACGGGATGCAGTATGTGCAAACGAGATCATTTTGCCCCGGGGTATTTCAGTAACGGAATGGAGGTGAATAAAAAATACGACATTTGGTACCCAGAGGAAGGTTGGTAAAATATTGAAAATAATGTGATCACATTATCTCATTTCCAGAGGTATGGGTTTTGACCAAGGAAGCTGGACAATCGAAAACAGTTTCCACCATGCCCTTTCACATCGACTTCGTTTGCACACAACGTTCTAGCCCTATTGCATTTCAGATAGATGTGAATGTAATGGCTACACAATGATTTAATCACAAATGTGTTTGTCGAAGTTCTGTGTTCTGGTTGATATGGTAGGCTTTGTTTGGCATTTGGGATCTCGTTATTCGCCAGAATTGAGTGAGCAACTACAGTTTTTCATTCGACTATATGAGGAACATTTTAGCTCATGTTTATCAATTAATATTCCAAAACATTGGCATTGGCTATATAACTAAACCCAAAAATACTAGAAAGTTGTACACTCAATCAAATGGGTACTACTAACTCTGTGTTACCTGATTTGCTTGAAAACTGGACCTCACCATAAATCGTCAATCATGAGTCTCTACGAAGGAGCCAGACAGATACATGGATCATGCAAAGCCAGTTACCGAACGCCGATCTCAAAAGATACATCACAAAATGAGCCCACTAAAACCTCCAACCAAATTTCGAAGTCGTCCTGAATGATTCTTTTACAGTTTGTCCAGTCTAGAACTAAACAGTGTTTTGGAAGAGGCTTTATCACTCGATTCAACATTTCGCTTACGGGAAAGGAGAAGTACATCGAAGTCGAATTTATACTCGAAACGCTTGTAGGAGGAACTACACTGATCAGCAAAAGACAAAGAATGACAAAACACGTCATCGGTTGTATTAGTCTATTTTTCGCCGACAAGAATACTAATATGAAAACACAGTAAGGCACTTGGACATCTACAAGAAAACCGAATCGTTTTCCAGAACCGGCCAGACACGTGATCCGGAATTGTGGTTTCGGATCGTGAGGAATATATATTCAAAGTGATGCAGCTTTTATCTGAACAAGATCTATCAAGAAATGATCGAATGAAGCGAAATAAAAAAACAGATGATGGAGATTAAGAGAGTTTAGAGATCAGGGTCATATCTCACCCAAATACTTCGAGCTCCTCAAAATAATATGCTCCAACGTGCTGCGTCTATATGGCCTACCAAAGTTACACAAGCATTTTGCATTAAATGTCGCAATCGGGACACTGAATGATAGTATTTCTGATCGTGTAAATAATAAAACGTGCACTTCAGAAACTCAAAATGTTTTTTTATTACACATTAGTGTGTAATGGACAGCAAACAGGGTGGAAACCCATAGTCGCAAAGACCTGCCGTTAAGTGATGGAAACCGGCAACCTAAGCCCCGGGACTTGGAGTAGCAAAACTCATAAGGCCACCCCAGGTTAGTTTTGGTATCGAACTTGTCGATAGCAACGCTATCTACCACCAAAGTTGGGTGGCGGTGGCGGGGCTCGAACTTAGAACCACAGGGTCTAAAGAACGCCGGTGACAGCGACTAGACCACTGCGCCACCCATCCGAGAAATGAAAAGGTGCATTTTTTTGATCACTTTGTTGAGATCGGACACTCGTTCTGTAACTATTCGACATTCACATTCATCTGCCGAGTTCCGCCTCAACAAAGTAGATAAAAAAGGTTTCAGTTTCAGTTTAGAAAACCGTGCACTTTCGTGCGGTGCTTTTAGCTGTTCACTTGGATGAAAGAATGGCTGAAGATTGCAATTTTGAAGTTAGTATCACTGTTAAGTCAAGAGTTCTGATGAAACAAGGTTGCAAACAGGTGGTAAAAATGCATAAAAGCTGCTGTTTTCTACTCTCAGCTATATCATTCAGTGTATCTAACCTACGGTTAAGCTGACCCTGAGGTTCCCATTCAGGTGGCATAACGTGACCTGTTTCATCGAATCTCCTGATCACATTTTTCAAACCTTCGTGCTACGTTTTACTTTGACAAACTTTGACCATTGTATCTCCATTACCTGCCTCGGAGAACATCGCAGGCCATTGGTGAAACACGTAACGTATCCACCACCAGTGGAGGTCCAGCACTTGCTTCAGTGGGCAGTTACGATTACCTAAGTCTCCTCGTCTAACCTCAATATTACTTGCTCAGTTCCCAAACAAATCTCAGGCAATGCGACATAGGAGCAGTTCCCAACAAATAAAAATGGCGGAGACAGTTGGAATTCGTCTGCCGAGACCTATTTTGGTCTCTCAAACGAGAAGGTAATCCCCGGAAATAGAGATTCGCAATGACTTCATATCGTTTCCACTGTGCTTCCACTCAACCTTCGTCAGTTTGAAATCCACTTATTTATATTCTCGGTTTCCTCTCTCCATCCTCTCACTGAAATGACCGGGACAAAATAAACCACCTAATCTCTATCAAGCCTGATAGAA